TACACCTCAGGAACTTCCGGTTGAGGCATGTGCAGATGCTGTTCCCGATGCGCAATACCTGCAGCACAAGTCCGCAGACGACTGGGACGTGCACCGCAGCCAACACATACTCACTGCCCCTCTCTCCCTCCGGCCTCCTCTCCCTTTTTCCTAACCCTCAGAAACTTTCGGTTCCGGCGCGTGCAGATGCGCTTTTCCTTGCGCAAGATCCTGCAGCACCAAGCCCATTGACAACTGGGACGTGTACTCATATGTTATGCCATGCGCACCCCCACATTAGCCCCCCTCCCCCTCCTCCGCCTCCCCCTTACACCTCAGAAACTTCCGGTTCCGGCGCGTGCAGATGCGCTTCCCCATGCGCAAGTACCTGCAGCACAAGCCCGCGGACGACTGGGACGTGCACCGCACCACGCTGCTGGACGGCGAGATGGTGGTGGACACTGTGCCGGGCAGCGGCGTGCAGGAGAGGCGTTACCTCATCTATGACCTCATGATGCTCGACGCTGTTCCCCTGGGGGATGTGAGTGGTGTGTGTCTGGGGAAAGTGTATGTGTGAATAGGGGAGTTTGGCCATGCATGCTGCTGGACGGCGAGATGGTGGTGGGCACCGTGCCAGGATAGAAGAGAGGCACTGTCTCATCTACGACCTCATGATGCTCGGGGCTGTTCCGCTGGGGGATGTGAGTATGACTGGTGCGTATGAGGGAGTCTAGCCATGCGCGCTGCTGGGCGGCGAGATGGTGGTGGGCACCATGCCGGGATAAAAGGAGCTAGTTCTTTTACGGCCGCACGATGCTGAACAGTGATCCGCTGGGGGATGTGATGTGAATATTGCGGACAAGTGGCTTCTGTTGAGGAGGATCTTTCTTGGTTGTTGGTCCTTTGCGGGTCCTCAAATCATGTCAAACAAGGTACGACTTGGATCGTTCCTTCTCAAAAACTGCTGTCCCTGTCCGGTCTTCCCCCCACTATACTCCACTTCTGGCTCCCTGTACTGAACCTCCCTGGCTTTTGCCAGAAGCCAGTTGCCTAGGTTTTACCAGAAGCTCTTGGCAGAGAGGTCTGAGCGCACAGAGTGTTTGTAGCAGAGAAAGGGAGGTGGTGGGCCAACAGCAAGACAAGATACATGCGGCCTTTCTTACCATGTCTCGCGTTTTCCTTGCTCCCCGCCTCCCCCGCCTTCCCCACTCACAGAAACCTTTTGCAGAGAGGTTTGAGAAGATAGGGTGGAAGGTGGTGGTTTTTGAGTCGACTCAAAAGCAAACCTTTTGCAGAGCGGTTTGAGCAGATAGAGCGGGAGGTGGTGGTGGCCCCTCGACGGATCGATGCCTTCTGACACCGCCTCTCCTTTCTCCCTGTTTCTCGCTGATGTCTTGCACCCCTCTCGCCTCCCCTGCAGAAACAGATCTTCGGACATAATTCCAGTGAGCGCAGTGATCACCTCTCCCCTAGCGAGCCTTCATCAGTGCCTGTTTCTCGCTGATGTCTTGCGCCCCTTCTCTCCTCCCCTGCAGAAACCATTCGCAGAGCGGTTTGAGCAGATCGAGCGGGAGGTGGTGGCCCCGCGGCGGATAGACGCCACGATGAACGACTTGTACGATTACAGCCAGGAGGATTTCAAGGTGAATGCAGCTTGGAATAGATCAATGTGACCGTGGATGCTGTTTATGGCTCCATGTGCCTTGTACCACGTGCCATGTGCCGTGTTCCATGCACTATGTGCTATGTTCCATGTGCCATGTTACATATGCCCATGCACCATGCACCATGCACCATGCTCCATGCACCATGCACCATGCCCCATGCATGCCCCATGCTCCATGCCCCATCCCCATCCCCATCCCCATCCCCATCCCCATCTCCATCCCCATGCCCATACCCCACCTATGCCGATGCCCACCAGGTGCGGCGCAAGGACTTCTACATGCTGAGTGCGGTGGGGAAGCTTCTGCACAACTTCATCCCCAAGCTCAGCCACGAGTCCGACGGGCTCATTCTGCAGGTCGTGCTCTTTCTTGGCGTCGCGCACTCTGACCCCCGACCCCTGACCCCTTGCCCCCGACCCCTGACCCCTTGCCCCTGACCCCTGACCCCTGACCCCTGACCCCTGACCCCCGACCCCTGACCCCTGACCCCTGACCCCTGACCCCTGACCCCTGACCCCTGACCCCCGACCCCTGATCCCTGACCCCCGACCCCCGACCCCTGACCCCTGACCCCTGACCCCTCACCCCTGAACCTCCATCCCGCTCTCACCTGACTGCTGAGCCTCCATGCCTCTGGCAGGTTCCGTTGGTGCGTTCCATGTTCGCGGCGTCCTCCTGTCCCCTCATCTCCTCTCACCCCTTTCCCTCTGCCCCTTTGGCTTCGTGCTTCCCGTTAACAGGGGTGGAACGACGCCTATGTGCCGCGCACGCACGAGGGCCTGCTCAAGTGGAAATACGCCCACATGAACTCCGTTGACTTCTGCCTCAAGGTGCGTTGACTCCTGTTGACTTCTGCCTCAAGGTGTGTTGACTCCCGTTGACTTCCATTCCCCCCAGAGGGCGTGTTTCCCTTGCTCCCAGCCAATTTGCGTGTCCCCTCTGTCGTTTGTTTCACTTCCCCGTGTTTCTCTGAGTGCAACCTTTGCCCTCGTCAGGTGATTTTTGAGTCGACTAAAAAATCACCTTCGCCCTCGTCACCTCCTTGTATCAACCCGTCCCAGTTGAAGTCAGCACCGGGCAAGCAGTTGGCATAGGCCTCTAGCATCCTCAATTCCTCTGCCCTCCCTTCCCCCGCTTGCCCCCTCACTTGCCTCCAGAAATCACCAGAGGGCAAGTGGGTGCTGCTGCTGTCGGACAGGAAGACGCTGCGGGCGCTGCCCGCAGCCAAGATCACCTTTCCTGGTGGGTGGAGTGTCTCGGTGGAAAAGGTTGATGAAAGCTCTCCAAGCCACACTCACCGCCAATCTTGAGCACGCTGAGACCACTAGCTATACCTTTTCCTGGTGGGTGAGCTGGGGAGGTTGCTATGCCGATGCTCCCAGGGGGCTGAGGTTGAGTGTGATGCTGCTGCTGCTGTTGCTGCAGTGAGCGTGATACAAGTGCCACTGGTAGCGTCCATCTCCCCCTCGCCTCCTCCCCTGGCCGTCACAGGCATGAGTAAGGAAGAGTGGCAGGAGCTGGAGGGCCACATGGTGGGGTGCTGCTGGTGAAGGAGGATGGGATGGTCTGGGTTCAACCGTCACCAAACCTGTCGGAGTTTCTTCACGTCCCCGTACCCCTGGGCAAGCATGAGTGAGGAGGAGGAGATCAAGCTGGAGGGGAAGATGGTGGAGTGCTGTTGCTGGAAGAAGGACGAGATGGTCTGGGTTCAACTGCCACCAAACCCCGTCACCTTCCCTTCCTCCCCCTCCCACCCCCTCCCCCCCCTCCCCCACCTTCTCCCCCCAGGCATGAGTGAGGAGGAGGAGAGCGAGCTGGAGGGGAAGATGGTGGAGTGCTGCTGGAAGAAGGAGGAGGGTGTGTGGGAGTTCATGCGCGTGCGCACCGACAAGGAGCACCCCAATGCCTGGCACACGTACCTCAAGGTAGCTTGTCTGGCATTCGTACCTAGACGTAAATGTAAGGTGCATTGAAGGGGGAGGGTGTGTGGGAGTTCATGCGCGTGCGTACCGACAAGGAGCACCCCAACGCCTGGCACACGTACCTCAAGGTATGTTTTGGGCGTGTCAAAAAGCAGGTGCGAACAAATAAGGGGCATCCCAAGCCAATGCGTCGCACATGTACCTCAGAGTGTGTGTTGTGGCGTCCCAAAACATGCGGGCACTTCTGTTGGGATGCATGCATGTGTGAAGCTGTACGTGTATGCATGAATGCATGCGCTCACATCTGCAGGGGGTTGTGGGGGGGGAGAAAGTGGGTGGCCATATGTGGCCTTCACTGGCAGGTGATGGACAGCATCCGCGACAGCATCACTGAGGAGGTGCTTCTACAGGAGGTGCAGGGCATGTGAAGGGGGGCGTGTGTTTTACTGAAATCCCTTGTGTGGGTTTGTGGGTGCCAAGTGCAGGTGATGGACAGCATCTGCGGCAACATTACAGACGAGGTGCCATTAAAGAAGGTGCAGAATATGTAAGGGGTATGTGGAGGCATGTTTGCATATTCTCATACCCAAAGGAGATAGTCTGTATGCGGCCCTTATTTGCAGGTGATGGACAGCATCCGCGACAACATCACAGAGGAGGTGCTGCTAAAGGAGGTGCAGAACATCCGGAGCCTTCCCGTGTACGAGGAGCATGAGAAGAGCGAGATCAGGCGCATGCAGCAGCAGCGCCGGCAGCAGCATCCGCCCCCACACCACCATCAGCAGCAGCAGCGGCATCACCACCCGCAACACCATCCACATCATCATCATCAGCAGCAACCGCATCAGGAGCAAGAGAGAAGAGATTAGCCGCAGCCACGCACCCCTGCCAATTCATGAGGACGCTGGATTAACTGGCGTTGCTGTAGGTATATCAATATCCTTCTGCTGTCTCATCTTTTTCCATGCCCACTTCTCCAACCTCCTGCTGGCTCTTCTATTTGCCTTGTTTACTGGAAAGTAAAGAATGTTCAAAACATAGGAATCGTGTGAAAAGACTGGAAATGCACTATTGGAGGATGCAAACATCTATATCTTGAGAAGGTCTTGTCCACAAAAAAACGTTTCCATCGTCATTAGGTAGCATCATCAACCGAGAGACTGTAACGAATTGTCAGAATGACAGCAGCTGAAGCACAACAGCCAATGTGGCACAGTAGGCACCACTAGTTCTTCAGCACCGTATACGCTCGCGAAATCTGTTACTGACGAAACTCTGCGAGCGACCTCGTTAGGTCCCCTGCCTGGTGGTAAAACGACGCAGAGCTGCGAGTGGCGACGTCATTGTGGGTTACAGACGATTCGCAAAATCACGTTTGTTTCGGTGAAATCGAGAATTATTGCTGGCAGTGACCAAGCCAAGCCAGAAGTAGTGACCTAGGGATTCTCCCACTTCAACGGTCTGATTTATCCACTTGTCTAGCGGTCGTTCCTGAAGCTCCACACCACACTTCTGCTGCCGTCTCGCCATGGCTTCTCGCCTCCACTCCGTCGCAGCGCACGGCATCGCCACCCCATCGTGCAACGCGGTTACCGCTTCGCCTGGCAAATCGACTGTTACCGCCGGCAGCAGGTGCAACACTACCAGCTGCTCCAATGCCGTCCACTCGTGTCGCCTCGCCGCGTATCCCGCCGCCAATCCCGCCGTAAATCTCGCCGGGACCGCCGCGGGATGTTCTCGCCAGCCACAAGCTCATGCGCTCGCCAGCTGCTCCGCATTTAGCGGGGCCTCCGCGTGGCGGCAGCGCGCCGCTGCGCAGACTGCGGGGAATGCAGGAAACTCGGCGCGCGAGGCTCGGCCAGGGATGGTATTCGTTGTCCGTAGCGCCCTGGTGCGTACTTAGCCGATTCGTGGTCCATCCGTGGCGCAATGAAGCTGAGCGATAAGGACGATAGTGTAAGCCGTGGAGTACCTGCTAGATTACATTCTGTCTGACAGGGGGGAGGAAAAAGGAAAGAAAATGGAACATTTCGACTGACATTAAATTCTGGAGCTACAGTCTTCAACTGAGGGTCTCTTGACCGTGCAGCAGTATCATTAGTTCGCAGCCTTCTCCGCAGCACGTCACGTTGAGACGGAGGGCCTCGCTCGAAGTGGTAGGGGTGGGATGAAAGGGTGGCATTATCTTGAGCTGGAGGGTTTAGCACGAGACGACAGCCTAGGCATACTGACCAGGGGGACCATGGGGCCTAGGGGTTTAAGCCTCGTGACTGCCCTTTGCCGAGCTCCTTCACCCTTCCCCCTCCATTCTTCCCTACATTCTTCCTACCCTTATTTTCTCACTTGTGCCCACCCTTCTCTCCTCTCCTTCCTCCGCTTCCCGTATCCTCTCATCTCTCCTTTCCTCAGGAAGCTTACGTCATCACAAAGCTAGACTCGGCAGAGCGAACTTTCAAGGAGCTTTCTGTGAGTTGATTTCCCCATGCTGCTGCTTCTCCCTCCCTCTACTGTCCTCGTTACTCCTGGCCGTTCCCGCGCCGTAACAAATGCTTCTTAGGCTTCATCTCTACGCCCATGTATTCCCATTCTACATACCACATGAGTGCAACTGGCTTTGATATTTTTTCTAAAACCCGTAAATGCAGAATTCCCATGCTGCATGCCCCTGCCCCTACCCCTGCCCCTGCCCCTGCCCCTGCCCCTGCCCCTGCCCCTGCCCCTGCCCCTGCCCCTGCCCCTGCCCCTGCCCCTGCCCCTGCCCCTGCCCCTGCCCCTGCCCCTGCCCCTGCCCCTGCCCCTTCCCCTGCCCTTACCTCTGCCCCCGCCCCTGCCCCTGCCCCTGTCCCTGTCGCTGCCCCTGTCGCTGTCCCCATCCGCGCGCCACTATAGATTCGTCTGGCAGATCCCGACGTGGCGTCCAACGCGACTGAGTACATGAAGATTGCCAAGTCAGCCGGCGAGATAGAGGAGGTGACCGTCTGGGGTAGATAGAGGGCGTGAGGGTCTGGGGTAGATAGAGGGCGTGAGGGTCTGGGGTAGATAGAGGGCGTGAGGGTCTGGGGTAGTGAAAGCAAGTCATGTGCGGGGGGAACGATGAGGTGCCGAAAGCGACTGAGTACTTGAAGATAGCCGAGTCAGCAGGCGAGATAGAGAAGGTGAGAGGGGGAGGGAGGAAGGTGCAGGGAGGATGGATGTGGTGTGCTTGTTCTGTGTTTCAGGAGACTTGCGCCGGTTGGGGGAAGAGGAAGGGAGAGGGAAGGGGGAAGAGGGGGATGAAAGGATAGGAACTTGGAAGTGTGAATGGGTTTCGGCCAATGAGGTGATGCTGGTATTTATGGTGGTGTATGTATGGTCGCTCGATGGTCTGCCATCCTTATATCCTATCACCCACCTGCTATCACTTACTGGCACATACTGTCACATCATATTGTGTCCATGACTTGTCATAACCATGACAGGTGGCCCGAGCCTATGGAGAGTGGAAGGACCTGCAGCAGCAACTGGTTGATGCTAAAGGTGATTATGGGGCGAGGCATAGTATAGAGGTCATAGAGGTCTGTTAGTGTGCATGTATAATAGAGACAAGCAGTGAGAATCTTAACCAAGGGTTGCCTTCTCCCACCCTCCCCCCTGACATTTTACCTCCCCCTATTCAACATCACTGCACCTGCCTTTCTTCCCTTATGTCCGCGCGCACGCTACCCTCATCCCCTCAACATCCTCGCTGTGTGCTCTTGCTTCCCATGTACCACCCCCGTTCCACACTTACTTACAACTACATCAATGCTATCATCTCCCATGCAGCTCTAGCTAAGAACTGTGCGTCGGACCCAGAGATGGCGGAGATGGCAGGGGAGGGGGTCAAAGAGGTAGAGGGGCAGATGGGAAAGCAACTCATCTTCACTCCTTCCCACTCCTTGTCACGCCTTCCCCTTATCCCTCTCCTCCCCAATGCAAGTCTAACTACGGGACAGAGCATCGGACCCAGAGATGGCGGAGATGGCAGCGGAGGGGCCGAGGGCGTTGGAGGGGCAGACGGAGGACCCACTTCTTTCTCCTCTTCACCCCTTCCCACTCCACTCCACTCCTTTCCACTCCTTTCATTCTTCGCCATTCCCTCTCCCGCACAGCTCTAGCCAAGGAGAGTGCGTCGGACCCAGAGATGGCGGAGATGGCCGGGGAGGAGGTGAGGGAGCTGGAG